CGGCGATCTCTGTTTTTTTGTCATTTCTTATCGCTTAGTTTCAATGTGAACTCAACCCGGATAGACTTGAAACGGAGTATTCACTATGTTCATGAATCATAAAAAGTTTAGCGTGAAAAAATTTTAAGACTTTTCCTGAAAAAAAAAACAAAATAAATCAAGATGACCCATATCAGAGTATTTACTACGTTCATGATTTTGAATAAATTATTTAAGATGTTTTTACCTAGTATGTCCTGTTCTCAAAAAATATGAGTCATTTTTTTCAACTCTTCTCTGTTTCATTGCATAGCTTTAGTTATGAAGTTTTCATCAAAATTGATAAAAATTTATAAAGTTTTCTCATTCTTGTACTAGATGCTCTTAACTTACTTCAGTCATTTTATCTACTGTCACTTTATCTTCCTTTGTTTCGGTTTTTCTGTCTGAGATATTGATTTGTTTCTTCATTTGATATCACACTATTGATGGTGGAGCAGGGACCTTGATTTCTAATTACTTTTGTCAATGATTTTACTTTCGTCAAAAAGTGTTCTCGAAAATGATCTCGCAACACCCACACAGCAAATAAATTTTTATACTTGTTTAAAAATTTATAATCGCAACATGCAAATGTCCCATTCATGTTGCACCTCAAACAGTTTTTAGCAAAACATTAAACTGTCCTTAGCAACAGCTTTTTTAAGTTTTTTTTGGCTCTTATTATCTTTGTTCTGTCTGCAGAGCTTTCCTCCTTCGGCAAAATTTAAAACATTGATCTCCAATCTTCCATGGTACTTCATCATTCAGTAATCTTTCCATATCTAACAAATTCTGTCCGTTCTTTCAGTTTTTGATCTCCTTCGTGCATGCAAATTCTGCGTATACAAAGAAGAGCCATCTATATAATATATTGTTTGTAAAAATGACGATATTTTAATGAGTTCTTTGATTCTGAGATCTACTGCAATTGATTTCCTAAACATATCTTCTGCACCCCTGGTATCCTCCTTGCTGGTCCGCTGGAATTTTTCCACCCTTCCTGAATCCGGATGTCTCAACTGGGCATCATACCTAATGTCGATTGTCCCACATACGATGCATCTGCTTACTTTTTGTTATCATTTGTTTCTCTACTTTCCTTCCCCACTGTGAGATACTGATTTGGCTGCCACTGATTCAGAGAACGTTGACATAATTAGTCGTTGATTGACAGGCATGTAAATGCTAACACTTTGCGGTATTAAGTCAAACTCTCATGAATTGTAACGTCAATTGAAATGATTGACATCCAATATGTAGCCCCTTAATTTTCCCTGTGGATTTAAAAAGTAAAAACAGTAATTATATTTATAATAATAGGAGTAGCAACGTTTTGGTAATACTTTTGAGTTGTAGGTTAATCACCATCCCTCTCCGTGGGATATAAATTTTTGATTTTAGTATTCATTCCCCCTTGGACTGTTCTTCTTCAATTGGCCCCTTTGATTTTCTTTTGTGATCGTATCAACTTGTCGACTGGCTTTCTGCTTCTTGTACTTCGTCAGTTCTCCGACCTTTCGCTTTGCGCTTCCGAATCTTCCTCTTCCTGGATGCTGTTCGAGAGATACTCTTTCGATACTAATGCTGGTCTGTTTGGCAGGTTGTTTTTCGCTCTTTTCAATATTGATTTGCCCCCGCTGCTTGTCCTTTGGCCGGATGCTACGGCCTCTGCCCGCGCCGTTATCTCCACTTGTATTCGCAGTGAAATGGACTTTGAAGGTCGAGTGTCGTCGTTATCCGTTTGATCTGCTTGTTCGGCTGGTTCGATGGATTTTGATGGTTGTACTTATTTCGGCCATTTCGACTTATTTCGGCCATAGACCTTACAAGGCAGTCGGAACATTCAGGCCTTCGCGTTGATACGAGCAGTTTTAATAGCCTATAATTAGCTTTTGGATATATCAGTTGCCATTCATAGAGAAAGTGACGTGTGGCGTTTTAATGCCACATCGACCCAATTGATGAAAAATTTGATAGTAATTATCCCCAGCTACCATGTTAAAACTAAGAAGTAATGTATCGTTCAAACTAGCTTATGATAATTAATGAAACATGTAACTTTTGTTCTCACCACGTTGTTTCAAGTAGTCCCCTTTATTGTTCCGACATTGGTAACGAAAGTAACGGAAAATTTTCGCTCGGAGTGTTTTTTTTTCCGACTTTAGAAGAAAGCGGACTATTGATGCTCGGTGTGGTTTTTTTTATTCAGTGAACTTTCGCCGATCAGAATAATAGTTTCTAAGAATTTTTTTTTTATATCTCATTGAAGTTGCAAAGTTCTGGGGGTTTGAAAAATGCTAAATTAGCCATTTTTTGGACTAAATTATGAGCGTTATGAACAAAATCGTTCCAAATTGAATTGAAGCTAGTTAATCGATCGTATAATTTACTTTTTACACTTTGATTTTGTCCAAAATTGATAGATTTCCAATATTTTTTATTCTCAAAAACTTTTCGATGTGAATTAAGGGACAGTCGAAACATTCAGGGCTTTACCCTCATATACGAGCAGTCTTGTTTTTCTTCAGATGGCTGTCCTGAGCTTAAACTTGAAAAGATACTTCACCTGTGATAATTTTTGGTAAAGTTATAGTGGTTTAAAAATTGCCACTTTGGGCAATTTGCGACAAGAACGCGCGATATATTTTGCCATATTAAAGCGTAAGCGAAGATTTTATCCGTCTTAGAAACCGTTCCAAATTGGTTGAAAGAAGAATATTCGCTATAATTGATTTGTCAATACGAGCGAAATCTTGTTGAGTAGATCCCTTCATCTCTATGTTCTGTTGTGTCGCATCCTTAGTGTGCTCAACTCTCATTTCCAAACCCACAGGCTTTTCTATTCACAAAAAATCTCAAATTGAAAAAATAGATATTTTTTAAATTTTTGTTTTATTTGATTTTTTAATCTTATTGCCGCTTCATAGAATTTAAAAGTCTGTCGGAACCTTCAGGGCTTCGCCAGGACCTCTGAAAACAAACTCAAGGATTGGGAATTTTCACACATGACATGGGAAAAGGTTACTGATCGGCTCTGACAGCTTTTGTCATTCGCTATGCAGTGCAAAATAGTCTTCTTTTAACGCAGGTGGGGCAGCACTGGCAGCAGAGTTACGAAAACTTTGTTAGCTCGGTCATATTCAATTTCCGGCCAAACTATCAAAAACCTAACAACCCTAATTGTCCATTAATTTCCTGCGCGCGACATAGCGTTCGAAAAAAAAACAGGTCAAATATGACGTATTTTTGCATAAGGTTTTGACCAAAAAATCGTATTTTTTTGCGCGCGATCCCCTCCCCGGGTGTCTTGGCGCCTTCGGTAAAATTATAGGGTTGAACGATCAAAAATCAGTGCCGTAAAGTAAGCCAAATGTGGGGCCTTATAGATAGTCAATGGGTCGAATAAGAGTGTTGCTTACGACGGAATTGAGCTGAAACGAGTCTTTGAAACATATCTCCTTAAGTTTTTGGAAGTTATGATGCGAATTTGGTCTAGTTGACCCTTTGGTACTACTTTTCTACAAAAATTTTTGGTTAAACCAACCTTAAATCTTTTCGCTAAGTGCCTGTTGCTCCGATAAGTATTAAATTTGAGGGAGAGCGCGCCCCAAAGTATACAGCTTTCATATCGAGTTCACTGCACTCATAAACTTTCAGAAGAGTTTTGATGCAGGGGCGGATCTAGGATTTTCTCGCAAATTTTTGAAAAAACAGTCAAAAAAACCGTTTTTGGGCACTTTTTGAAAAATTTTGATAAAAAATAGCGTTTTTTTTGGCGCGCGCTCCCCCTCAAAGTTAGTATATATTGGCGCCGAAGGCGCCTTTAGAAAAATTTTAGGGTCGGTCTGCCAAAAATGGATTTCTGAAAAAGTATCAAAGGGGGGACCCTTTGGGTCGGCAGGGGTCGAATCCCTGAGGGGGGGGGGGGGGGGGGGGCGTCCGCCCCCCGCCCCCCCCCCCCTAAATCCGCCCCTGTTTTGATGTGTCCTGACCTGAAATGAGTGTCATGAAATAATTAATATCAATGGGAACATTGAGGGAGTGGAAACTTCTTAGTGGTCGTCTTCTCGCCTAGCTCTTCTTATACATGTAAAAAGCCTGTGGGTGCGGAAATGAGAGTTGAGCATACTAAGGATGTGACACAACAGAACATAGAGATGAAGGGATCTACTTAACAATCTCTCTCTCTCTCCCCACCCCCTATTAAAAATCTCCACCCATAAATAAATACAGTAAATTAGCACTGAGCTTTCTATTGAGAACTCTAATTTTGCTGCATTGTGATCGGTCGTAAAATCAACCATTTTGATCTACTTAACAATCCCCCCCCTCTTCTTGAAAGTGGTGGAGATTGTTCAGTAGATCCAGATAAAGAGTTGATTTCATGGAAACAATCTGAACTAATTGAAACACCAGCCCATGTTCTAATTTTAGTTTCTTCTATTCGTTTTTTGTCTAAAACATTACATTTTTTACATGACATTTTATTTTCAGCTTTGAGCAGAACTCATTTAGTTATTAATTTAGTTCATGTACTTATTTATTGCATTGTGTGTAAGAAAAAAATATATGCGTATACAGTCTTTTAGTTTTCAAAAACTTGTTTGATTGAAAGTTTTTTTCTTTGTTTAACAGACCTGATAAGCAATTTTCAAAGCTTAGAAAGCAACTTTAAGAATATCTTTACAAAATTTTATCAACCTTTAATGGCATTGCAAAAACATTTAATCAACCTTTGTCCTATTTGGAAGAAAATTTCTATCAAAATCAAACTATTGACGATAGTGTGTTAGATTACCTTCAACTTGCCTCGATGACTGAATTTTGAGCTCTTCATAGTTATAATTTATTCAAAAACTAATTTTGTTAGCACAATTTTGGAAAAATGGCGGGAAAGGTGTCGAGAGCCACAAACGACCAATGTACGCCTTACGGTGCCAGACTGATGTTGAAATGGATGAATGGTTTGGAAGTTAGCACAAAAACAAAGATATTCCAAGTGCTCATTTTGTTCATGACTTATGTGTCCTACACTTCTTTCCACATGACCCGAAAAGTGATCAGTGTCGTGACCCCTGTTCTGGAGAGAGGCAGTGGCGACCAGAGTGCCTGGCCCCCCTTCGACCAGCGGGACTCCCAGGGCACCCTGATCGCAGTGGTGGACACTGTGTTCGTGCTGTCTTATGCCTCCGGAATGATGTTTGCAGGCGCCATTGCAGAGAGAATAGATCTCAGATACTTTCTGGTAGTCGGCATGACCCTAAGGTAAAATGAAACGTTTCGTGACAGGGAATGATACTTATGGGAGATTTAAAAAAGATATAAATTTATAATTTGAAAAAAAAAATCGATCGATATGCTACGCGACAAAGGTGGATGCCTCTGGTATAATCGCCTACACCAAATGAGATGTCAAAACAAATGCTTTTACCAATACACGTTTTACAAGCAATTTAGAATAGCTAACCTTTTGGGAAGGATCAGGCGCTGGTTTCAACAGTTTACAAAAGAATAAAAGTAAATTTTACCTCTTCGCTGTGCATACACCTGCACTGGGTTGCAACGGGGAGATAATGCAATGTAATATCACTTTTGATAGCCGAAGAGCTTTGTTTGAGTTCGTCGGAACAAAACCCAAATGGAAAACCCGCTTTGATCTCGGGAAGAGTTCGGAATGTTGAGGACAGACGAACTCAATGCCAGACTAGTGAAATACCAGACCAAACTCAAGGTCAGACTTGAGCAATAGAAACCTAATTAAAGGTCAACTGGTATAAAACTCAATGCACTCAGACAAGGTCAACTGGTCTGCTGGTATTTGATAAACTAATTAATTAACTGGTAATTAATTAACTGGTACTATTTGATGCTCAGTTTGTCGTGTCATTTTAAAAAACACAATCTCAATTCATTCTTCAACAATCAGTATCTCTTCTCTCTCCTCAGTTGAAACCTCAGATAACTCTCAAACCTCTATCCCCTAGTCCTACTTGCTCTAACTCTGAATCTTAACAGGTTATGGGCCCAGATTTCTAAACTTTTTGATTTAATAATTATTTGATTTCTGTCAGAGTTTTTTTTAGCTTTTATCTAGCCTTTAGCAAAGCAGAGATGGACTTGAAACTGGCTGGATTCAGTGGAAAGTCTGAAGATTTTCCAGCTTGGTCGACGAAGTTTGTGGCACTGATGCATACCAAAGGCCTGTTCAGGACTGTGATGGGCAATGACGATCTACCAGAAGCTGAACCTACGCTACCTGAGAATCCGAATGCTGACCAGATGACGGCGTACAACACCAAGATGCAGGAGCGAGCTGTGCTGATCCAGCAGAGGAAAGACAACCGAAACACAGTGTGGTCACATCTAGCTCTGGTCCTGAACAACACCACACTGATGTACATCAAGAACGACTGCGTGGCTGCGGATGGCTATGGCGATGGGACGAAGGCCTGGAGACTGCTGCAAGAGAAGTTTTGCAGTGTGGAGAGGCCTACAGTGGTCAGTCTAGTAGGCCAGCTTGCGAAGCTGCGCCTAGGATCAGAGGAGGATCTCGATGACTACTTCGTTCGAAGTCAAGAGCTGATGACGCGGCTGAGTGAAGCTGGGGAAGCAATTACGGACACACTCTTCAATGCGCTCGTGATCAACGGACTGCCTGACAGCTTTGAGCATTTCGTGGTGCAGGAGAGCTTCCAGCCGGCCAAGACTTTTACAGAGCTGAGAACGAGGTTGAGGAACTATGATGACTCGAGACGAGCTCGATGTGGAGAGAAGACTGGGAATGGACACATAGCTATGCAAGCTGTGAGGAAGAAGAAAGGAGCGTCGGGTGGTGGCTGTTTTGTGTGCGGTCAGAAGGGTCATTTGGCAAGAGATTGCAGATCCAGAAGTGACAGTGGTCAATCTGGTGCTCGAGGCAGTGGCTCGAATGAAGCAAGTGGTCCAACTTCAAGGAAGCAAGGGTGCTTCAAGTGTGGACAACAAGGACACTTTGCAAGGGACTGCAAGCAGGCAAAGACAGGGTTCTTCAGTTGTTGTGCAACAACCTCAATGAAGGGAGATGATCTCATTGTGGATACGGGATGCACCGATCATGTAGTGCGCGACAAGGCTGTCTTCTCAAGCTTTGAGAAATGGGATGAGGGGACAACAGTTGAGAATCCGAACGGTACAATATCAAAGATTGAGGGCATAGGCTCGGTGGAAGTGGACATACGAGACTGTCAAGATGTGACGAGGAGCTACACTTTCCACAATGTGCTGTTTGTGCCGAGCTACAACGTGAATCTGATGAGTGTGAGCTCAGCAATAGCTAGAGGGTCTAGTTTCAGCTTTACATCAGACTCTTCTCATCTTGTGGCACCGGATGGTCGACGGCTACCAGTGAAGCAGCGCGGCAAGCTTTTCTTCCTGGAGTGCAAGTTCAAGAGGAACGCGATGACTCTAGCTACGAAAGCGAAGATGGAGACAAGTAGTGCAATGCTGTGGCACCGAAGGCTGGGGCATCTCAACAAGCATGATCTAATATCAGTTGTTGATGTCGGCGAGCTAGGGTTCTGCGAAGTGTGCACAGCTTCGAAGATGCACGAAGTAGCAATGCCAAAGAAGACAGAGAACAGGGCAACTGCAGTGGGGCAGCGGGTCTTCAGCGACATCCAGGGACCATTTGAAGTTGCGAGCATGCATGGAGCGCGCTATGCCGTGAGCTTCATTGATGACTTCAGCCGTCTGGCAGTGGTCAAGTACCTGGTTAAGAAGAGCGATACTCTTTCGAAGTTCAAAGACTTTGTAGCTGAGCACGGAACACCGAAGTGCTTGAGAACTGACAACGGAGGTGAGTATTCGTCGAATGCTTTTCGGATGTTCTGTAGAGAAATGCAGGTGAAACAGGAGTTTACAGTACCTAATACTCCGCAACAGAATGGCGTGGCAGAGAGGTACAACAGGGTGATAACTGAGATGACTCGATGTCTACTGGCCGATGCAAAGCTCTCAAAGATGTTCTGGGTACGAGCAATGTCAACGGCAGTCAGGGTTCGCAACTTGTGTCCTACATCCAGCAATGAGCATCGCATTTCATCAATGGAGATGCATTATGGGAAGCCATCGAAAGTCAACTACCTGCGAGTGTTCGGATGCCTGGCGTACTACCTGGACAGAGGAAACCGGCGGAAACTGGATCCGAAAGGCAAGAAGAGCAAGTTCATTGGTTATGACGAGGAGAGCAAAGCCTACTTGCTGATGGACCTGGAGACAAAGCGAGTGGTACGAGCAAGAAGCGTGACGTTCAATGAAGACATCATTCCAGACGACTTTCTGGTAGACAGTGAGCAGTCACAAACACTGGGTCTATCAATCGAGGGATGCATTGATGTAGAGGAAACTAGCACGAAGACCATCACTGAGTCTACCAATAAAGCGAATGATAGTGGAGCAGCAGCTTCAGTGGGGGTTACGGAAGATGACCCAGTCGAGACTGAAGAATTGGAACCACCTTCCACAGAGCCTCCAGAGCAGAGGCCAACAGAGATTCCAGAGCAGCGGTCAACTAGAACGCGGAACCCTCCCATCCGATACGGACTGGCTTACACTCATGCTTCAGTGATAGCACAAGAGCCAAGAAGCTACTTGGAAGCAGTATCTGGACCAGAAAGGGAGCAGTGGCTAGCAGCTATGGCTTTGGAGGTGCAGTCACTGAAGGCAATGGGCACCTGGACACTTGTTGATAGACCAAATTCTCGCAAGGTCATTCCTGGACGCTGGGTGCTTGCTGTGAAGAGAGATGCAATGGGACAAGTGGAGCGGTTTAAAGCCAGATACGTGGTGAAGGGTTTTATGCAAGTGGAAGGACTGGACTTCAATGAGACCTTTGCGCCAACCTGTAAACCAGAAACAAAGAGAATACTACTGGCTTTGGGAGCGCAAGATGATCTTGTACTTCATCAGATGGACGTGAAGTCAGCCTTCCTCAACTCGCGTTTAACAGAAACTGTGTATATGGAACAGCCCGAGGGGTTCAGCAGCGGGGACAACCAAGTGTGTTTGCTACAACGCAGTATCTATGGGCTGAAGCAGGCAGGAAGGGACTGGTACCAGACGCTGAGCACGTTTCTTCTGGAGACTGGTTTCACTCGAAGCACCAATGACTTCTGTTTGTTCACGATGAGGGGAATGGATGATGCTATGATCTATGTTCTAGTATGGGTGGATGATATCATCATTGGCTGCAAACTGCAAGCAGAAGTTGACAGGGTGAGGGACCGATTCACTGACCGATTCAAGATGGATGATCGCGGTCCATTAGCCTGGTTTTTGAAAATGCAGGTCAAACGGGCACCTGGTTCTGTCACTGTGAATCAGTCTCGCTACATTGAAGACTGCTTGGAGCGCTTTGGGTTGGCTGACTGCAAACCAGTAGGGACACCAGCTGATATCAGCACTCAGTTGACGAAGAAGGACTGCCCTGGAGCGGGCTCAGAAGAAGCAGTGGCAATGCAGCGTGAGGACTACAGAGGCATAGTGGGCTCGTTATTGTACATAGCCAAGCAAACGAGGCCAGACATCCTAGCTACTGTGACTCAACTTTCACGGTTTCTGGAGAATCCTGGGAGAACACACTGGGTGGCTGCTAAGAGAGTACTGCGATACCTGAAAGGAACCAAAGATCTGGAGCTGTGCTACATCAAAGATCCTGATGGGTTCAACCTTTATGGTTCAGCAGATGCTGACTGGGCTGGTGACGTTGATGACAGAAGGTCAACAACAGGCTACAGTTTTCATGTGCAGCGGTCAGGAGCAGCAATCAGCTGGAGTACCAAGAAGCAACCTACTGCAGCAATATCTACCAGCGAAGCTGAGTATCAAGCAATGGCAGCGGCTGTTCAGGAAGGCCTCTACTTACGATCCCTACTCAATGAGATGGATATGACGTGTGATGGTCCAACTGTGATCAACGAGGACAACCAGAGCTGCATCAAGATGTGCAAAAATCCCGTAATGCAGAAGCGTACAAAGCACATTGATGTCAAGTATCACTTTGTCCGAGAGCGGGTCGAGGATGGAACATTTGCGCTCGAGTACTGTCCAACCGAAAACATGGAGGCTGACTTGTTGACGAAATCCCTGAGCAAGGCAAAGGTGGATCAACATCGTCGAACGCTGATGGGTTGCAGCCTGACATTGGACAAAGCCAATTCAGCCTGAGTGGGGGTGTTGAGGACAGACGAACTCAATGCCAGACTAGTGAAATACCAGACCAAACTCAAGGTCAGACTTGAGCAATAGAAACCTAATTAAAGGTCAACTGGTATAAAACTCAATGCACTCAGACAAGGTCAACTGGTCTGCTGGTATTTGATAAACTAATTAATTAACTGGTAATTAATTAACTGGTACTATTTGATGCTCAGTTTGTCGTGTCATTTTAAAAAACACAATCTCAATTCATTCTTCAACAATCAGTATCTCTTCTCTCTCCTCAGTTGAAACCTCAGATAACTCTCAAACCTCTATCCCCTAGTCCTACTTGCTCTAACTCTGAATCTTAACACGGAACAGAAAGGGAAGTGAGGTCGACTTTAGTTTGCGCTGTTATTCGCTGGTGTGAGTCTAGAGACTGGATGTGTATTGATTTACATTTGTGTTTGCAGTGCTTCCTTCACCGCCCTGTTCGGACTGGGACGCTACCTGCACATACACCAGTTCCCTTTCTTCCTCCTCGTCCAGATGGTGAGTGGAGTGGTGCAGAGCAGTGGCTGGCCGGCAGTCATGTGTCTGGTGGGAAACTGGTTCGGCCACCACAGACGGGGACTCATATTCGGCCTCTGGAACAGCCACGCTCCTCTGGGCAACATTCTGGGCTCCCTGGTCGCCGGCATCTGGGTGGACACCGACTGGGCAATGTCCTTTTTAGTTCCAGCCGCAATCATGCTCGCAGTCTCCATTATTTGTTTCTTTTATGTTGTGCCCTATCCAGACATGGTTCACTGCAATAGTCCAGAGTACAAGTGGTCGCATGAAAATGACGACGATAGAAATCCACTTCTGGAGGAAAAAGAAAAAACAGCAGCAGACCTCGAGGAAAGTGAAGAAAGCAAAAAACCAGCTATTAGCTTTCTAGCTGCAATTAAAGTGAGTTCTTTTATTGATGGAATCAAAAAACCAAACGTAAGACTTCAAAGACGAGTAAAAAGTATCACAGAAGTGACAAGTTTAACCAATTGCTGTGCAAGTAGCACATAATGGGAGCACCATGGTGGTCTTTTCTAGAAACTTTTTAAACGAAATAATATTTTTGTTTCAACGTTTCTCGAAAGTTTTGTAGTTTTCATAAATAAAGATAGATGCTTGAAGAACAGATAAGGAGTTGGCCTTTTCCTTTGTCGCGATAAATAAGTCTGGAAAACTGAAATATTCGGACCATTTTTTGCGACACTGGTTGAAATTTTTCGAAGTAGTTTCTGTATGGAACCTCGATCACAATTTGAAGGACTTTAATACGATGCATCAGTTGACCTTGGTTTGACTTGTTTTAAAAGCAGCTGAAGCTGAGTACAAAAACCCAATGACACTTTTGGGAAAGAAATTCTAAGATCATTTTATCCACCAGGGATAGGGATACGAGCTGTACAGCTCATCACGGCCAACCGCTGTTGTGCCACTGCTTAAGAATTACATGCAATTTTTTTGGTTATTTTTCTGGGCTGGGTAATGTTGCCTCACCCTCAAGCAACGAGCACGGATCATGGTGGGCCTCCAACATCCGACCTTTCGATTGAGAGGCGGAGACGTAACCAATTCGCCACTGCTCAGATAATATTCTAAAGAAACATGTCTGAATGGTTTGATCGAAATTTAAATATATCAAAAATGGTCAAAAACAGGAGAAAGTTTACATTCTAATTTGACTGAAGATGTTTTGTTTAGATGCCAGGAGTGATGGAGTACGCCATGTGCCTGTTTTTTGTCAAGTCTGTCCAGAACTGCTTCTTGTATTGGCTTCCCAGTTACCTTCAAAGCAAGGCCAACTCCAGCAGCCAAGACGCAGCCAACATGTCCACTCTATTCGATATCGGCGGAATTATCGGCGGCATGTTAATAGGCGCCATTTCGGACGCATTCAGCGATCGCGCTCTGGTGACTGCGGCCTCGATCGCCCTAGCTGTACCGCTGATGTTGATCTACGACTCATCTGGAATAAACAACCTTTACAGCCTCTCCCTTTTACTACTCGTAGGAATGACAGTCTCTGGTCCGCCAACTTTAATAACCACTGCGGTCAGCGCCGATTTAGGAACTGAGAAGACGTTGCGGCACAACTCGCGGGCGCTGGCTACTGTCGTATCGATCATAGACTCTGCAGGTCACTTTGGATCCGCGATAGGCCTCACACTCTGCTTCATCATGGACTACCAAAAAGTGTTCTACCTTCTAGTGGCGTGTGATTTAGTCTCGCTGCTGTTTCTAACTCGGCTCATTATTAAATCCGTCAAATGTTTGATAGGCAAATGGAATTGTGCGCCGAGCAGTCACAACTAAGAACTGATGGACTACTACAGGCATGAGTCCATACGTTTTCAGTCCAATTCACCCGACTTTCTAATCGAACCGAATAGTGTTGGTTCACAGTATTCTACGCATGGCAATGTTTGCCAGAAGCGTTCTTGTTCTTTCAGGTGCAGTCACACACAATGCTGAATTAAATTAACCGGAAGAAAGGATCAAATTGGAGTTTTTAAATGTACTTTTTTCAAATTGGTGCAAATTTAGAAAAATAGTCGTCAGATAAAATTTGCTTAGAATTTTGACATGGTGAAAACTTTTTTTTAGCAAAAGTCGGGACCAAAATTTTACCACAAAAACGGATAGTTTTTGGCTTTTTCAAAAAATCAAAAATAACCTCAAAGTTGCCGTGTCAATTACTGGACGAAGTGTATCAAAGTAAGACTCTTCGGTAGCCCAACAAAGTTTGAAAAAGGTATTATCTCCAATTTCGTAAGAGTTGGCTGATTTTCGTTTTGATAGAAAAAAGCCCTTTTCACTAAATAAAACAACCATTTTTGATATAAGCACAATTTTTCAACGTTTTGCACATTTTTTTCTCCCCTTCCTAAACTATACCTTTCTTAAACTTTGTTGGGCTACACTTTGATATAATTTGGTCTGTAATTACCTCAGTAGTTTTGGAGGTATTTTTTGCCAAAAATGATTGGTTTTTGGGTAAAATGTTGCTCCCGAATTTTGCAAAAACTAATTGCACCGTATTACTTCTGGTAAAAATCTAAGCGAGTTTTCCTCATCATTTTACGCTTAAACACAGTGTTAAATTTCAACCTGAACGCAGAAAGCCCCAAGCATTTGGTCAATTTGCAATTAGGCTTCATAGATATAATTTCAATTCCTATCCATTGCCTATCAGTTGCTTAGCTTACAAAAAAATCGAATCGAATCAAAAAGTTACAAAAGTCGAATCGTCTCATGGCCATTGAATATATACTCAACCTCTCGAATTGAAAAAGTTTCATGGGCCATTTTTATAGGAAAAAATTGCCCGTGCCGTCCGTTTTCAAAGTCATTTAGCAGGTTTTCCGCATTTCAGACACCGAAGAAAAGCTTTCAAAAGATGTTGATCAAAATTGCTCTTGGGTGAAGACTGAATAAAATAAACAGACAACAAAATTGTCTCCGAACTATCAAGTGTGAAATTGTCGTGGTGAAAAATTTGGAATCTGTTTTTGCTGGCTTGCAGAGTAAAGGGACACGTCAGTCTCAAAAATTTCAGACCAAAGTCTCTCAATTTTCGAACTACATTTACTTTTTTAACATTTAGACAGATAGATCTTTTCATACTGTTACGTTTATTGAGTTGCTCAGAGAAAAAAAAGCTAGGACAACAGGCAACTAGTAGTTGACAACATAACTTTATGTGGTTTTTATCTTTTTTTTTGCGGAGCTCAAACAATTTCTAACCCCGTCAAAAAGTGTATTTGAAACGTCTTGATAATTTTCACTCACACAGAGGCAAAACTGCGCTTCGTAAACCCTTGCAAGAACATGAACAAAAAGCAGCTCTATCAAGTGAAATAAGAAAAAATAGAAACAAGCCTCGAATTAGCAAAATCTCGGCTACGTGTACGGTTCGAATCTGCGACTTTGCACATATGAGTCAAGCACTAACCACTCAGCCACGAATGCTCAAACTCGCCAAAAACTAGCCACTAATAATGAAGCTGTATATGCTAATAAATTGCAAATTCGATACCGCAAAAGGAACACCAAATACAAAAAGACACAACTTTGGACCTAATAAAGTTTGTATAAGTTCTGCATTTCAAAAAAATTGCGAGATACATTGAGTTGAAAAAATTCTGAAGTCAAGGTTTTCATTACTGCACTGCTGTTTGAAACAAATAAAATTTTTTTGGTTCATTCGATATTTTAAAAATGCATCAACTGTAACTAATCAAATATGACATTATACTGCTGTAGCATCCTACCGTTCAATGTACCACCAAAAGTAGCACTTTTTTTTGCGACTTAGCTTGGAAAAAAAAGAAGGTTCATACTAACAAACTCGCTCCGCAAGTTTGATAAGGAAGCCTAAAAATATCTCTTCAAGTCTGATGATACAAATTGCCTCTAAAGCTGCACAGAAATAAATATCTTATACACTGTAAATATTTGAGTTTTCAGTAGCAAGCTTCTGGCGGAGACTATGACCTTTTTTAGCTTTTGGTTTTGTTGCACAGGTTTCGCTAGTCACCCATAATGACTCCACTGAAAATCAACTGATTAAGATTTGCCAGACAATTTTATCTTATTATTTTGCATTAACCATTTGCATGATTTGATAGCTCACTTTAGGGAACGCGCATAAGAGTGCAGCACCACTGAGTTAAGTAGAAAAAACTAACAAAGATAGACGATTGCTATGCATAGAAATTTCCGACCACAGGGATGGGATGCAATTAGGTAATTATTCGCTAGAAGGAGTTGATTATAGCAAAAAGTTACAATAAAATGAAGAAGGGGAGATAACAAACTCACTCTCATTAGTTTGAAAAACGGAATATACAGAACATTTTTTCTCGACAATGAGACATTTTTGGCAAACTTTCTATGTCGAATCTGCATGGCGACCAATAGGGCTTAAATATGATGCCGAAACTCGACAACTCACGAGTTGTAATTGCGATACCTAAAATGGCCGAAAACTCACAGTGCGCCATAGTTCGTCTCCACCGTGATTTCTTCGGAGCAAAAAGAGAACTAGTCTTTCTGTGCTTTCTTAAATGAAATTCTCAATTTATTTCAAAAACAACAATGAAGGACGAAGGAAATAACTTAAAATAGCGATTTAGCCGAAACTTTAGAGAACCCAAATGATGCAATATTTGGTTTCGCTGCATTATTTCAAAAAGAGATTTTTCAGATTCCGAAAATTCTAGAAGCTAAGTTAAACTTTTCCAATTTTTGATCAACTGTCTTTTAAAGACCAAAAATCAAAGATTTCATGAAAATAAAAAGAAAGGACTGGAAGAAAATAAAAGCTTCAAACCGAAGACATTGGAAGACAAGATTCTGTTTCTGACATCGTGATGAAGAATCACTCTAACTAAAATTCTCAATTGGTCTGAAAAGTAACTATGAAGTTCAAACTTAACCCTTTTGAGTGGCGTAAAAAATTCAGACTTAACTCTCTTTAGGTCAAAGAAATAAAACGAGTAGCTGATTTTGCAGCTTACTGAAAACTGAATTTGTGTAAACTAAGTTATACTAAACTGTTTTTAAGACAAAAATCTATGAACTCACTAAAATAAAAAATAGGTCTGGAAGAAAATGAAGCCTTCAAAACGAAGATATCGGAGGAAAGGATTCAGTTTCTCACATCGTGATGAAGAAAAGAATCAATGAGGTTAAGCACGGCTCCCTGAGACCTTCCGTTACGATACACTGTGCTGATTTAAATTATACGGACAAAACGAATAAAACTTGAAATTTAAAATGCGGTTTGCTCAAATTTGATTAAGATTAGAAAAAAATGATGAAGACCAATCTTGCGTAAATTTCAAGCAGATCTGATGCAAGTTGTTTTGATTCAAAATTCGGGCCCAAAAAGTTTTGCCTCAAAAAATCGGGCCCAAAAAATTTAATCCATAAACGATCATTTTTGGCTTTTTTTTGTAAAACAAAAATTACTCCAAATCTATTGCTTCGTTTACTGACAAACTATATCACTGCAAGCCTTTTATGTAGCCCAACAAATTTTAAGAAAAGTTTAATTGCCAAAGAGGGCACAGATGGTTTGAAAGATGTTTTAATTTAAACTGTTGGTGTTTTATCAAGTTTTTTGCTATCAAACGATAATATGCATGATTCCACAAATGAAGAAAAAAAACCTGTCCATATTTAATTTTGTTGGGCTACAAAAGAAGCTTGTATGATATAGTTGTGTCAGTAAGTGAACAATTGCGTTTGCGGTAATTTTTAATTGACTAAAAAATCGAAAATGATTCGTTTTCAGGGAAAATTTTGGGCACAAATTTTGCAAAACAAATAGTATCATTTTAATTCTGTTAAAATTTTAGGCCAGATTAGTCTTCACCAGTTTTTCATTACATTTAAGGCATATTGTGAAAACGCGTTTTTAATTTCAACTTTCATTCGTTTTGTCAGGATAATTTAAATCAGCACTGTATACAAACAGCATTCAATGCAAGCTAACTAAACGGACAAAAAAGCTGATGTTATAAAAAACAATTCCGATAGCCATTGATCTGTTTACACACTGACGCGAAGCCGAGTTTTGCACTTTTTGAGATACAACATAAAATTATGTATTCATAGAAACGACCTAAAATAAGTCCACTAAGCCGTTAAAATGTTAGCCGATATTATTTAAGCCGAAAGAATTTTTTAAGCGAAAAACAAAACAAAAAAAGCAAAATGTACGAAGTCAAGACTAGTAAAATTACAGTTCCCTAGTAATTCGAGAACTTTAAAAGCTAAAAGCAACTACATTCAAAATTGTATAAAAAAATCTAAGACGTAGATTGGCAACAAATCAAAAGCGAACATTTTTTGTGACGGAAAAATTCCAGTATAAAAAACCTGGTAAATTTCGAACACACGAACTTTGACGTCACACTTGTATTCTTCATCACTAGTTTAAGTGCCTGAGCGACATAGATATTTGGCCTTAATTGAAAATATAATAAATACTGAGCTGTCTTCGGTCGCCGCCAACGCTACGCGTTATTTTAAAATAGGCAAACACTGCGTTACTGTAAAAGTTAATTAAGAAATAAACACAACCAGCTCGAATGTCTTGAATTAATGGCGCATAATACTTTCACGCAAGTTTTGTTGTAACCGGATATAGTTAGATGAAGTTAATGTTGCAAGTTTTGCAGAAAAAAGTGGCAATGGCGTTTTAGAAAATATACAGCAATTACACTGGCAATATCAGCTCTCTGGCTGTTGTTTCCGACCTGTTTTGTTCTGTAACATTATTGGCTAACAGGATCTATTTTTGAGAAGTTTTATTTCAATGCTGAGTTATGACCGAAGTGTATAACTCATAGAGTAATTTCGGATAGGGTACACCGTCTGCTCGTCACGCTATCTTATTTTCGGCCGGATAGATTCGTGCAACTTCTTAGTCTAATACCGATCCTAATCTTACTCTTATACTATCTAGTCTCAGGTTGTTTAACTAGTCTCTGCTAGGCTCAATAGATCTAGGGTATACTGGTTTATTGCGGCTGCTGAAGTACTCGGGAGAGTTCAACTAACTTCTAAGTTAAATTCAAATCTCTCTGGTG